GGTCTACTGTTCAAGGGGCCCTTCCTATGTTCAGCACATGTGGGACACTGAAAATCCGCAATGCCCTCAAGGATCTCTCGTGAGGCGCCCCGCTCCTTCAGGAACTTTTCAAACAGTTCGGGAGTGGGATGACCAAGGTTGTGATGTAATCTCCGGATCTCTCCTTGGTCTTCACCCTTTAAACGGGTGAATGCTGGCCCCGAAACTGCGATTGGCCTTGGAGCCCAACCAGCATTGTGGTCGAGTTCAGACCTGTCATGTTTTGCCTCCAACTGAGGTGTTTCTTCTCTTGTGGAGACTTCATCAACCGCATCTTTTGGACTCCCAAACATTGTCAATGACAATCTTGCTGGGCCACATGATCCAACCCGCTTCAACTTGGACATCTTTAGCCATTCTTGGGGCTGTCCTGCATCAACAACCTCTCCACTAGTCCGATGAACATATACCGTCTTCCTCAGCGGCAAGTCATGTGTATCCAGCATATTCTTGGGAATCCTATAGCGATCTGTTCCCCGACAGGCAATGAAGAGGCCAAGTGTCATGTCCTTCAACTTCCGGGCCACTCTATCAAAAAGTTCCCCTTGGGTCACCTCCCAACTGCCTACTCGAGGGGCTCCTTTGGAAACATCCTGCAAAATTTGTTCCCAGGTCTCTTCATCTTTAAATGCCTCGGGACAGGGTTGTTTATATCCACAACGACGGCGCTTCAGCTGAAGAGAACCAAGTGCTGCCTCCCTTGGTTCCCCGGGTCGTTTATGCCCTTCGTGTTCTTCAAATCCAGCTAACAACTCCTCTACCAACAAAGGATCTTCCTGCCTCTCCATGGACCTCAACAAAGTCCTAACAATATTCCTAGCCAAACATGGTGTGTATGCTGCTGCAAATGCTGAGATGTTTTGTTTGGTGCCGTGTTGGTTGTGTGTCCCTTCAATGGTCTGGTGTTTGTGGGTGTTGTCACACCATCTTCCATGAAGAACTCGATGAACTTCTCGCGAGGTGGTCAACACATGCGTTCTCTTTCTCAAAAACGAGTCCGTCTTGGGCAGACGCAATCTCCCAACTTGGCATTGGTCAAACGATGCCTGCAGCGTGCCTTCCAAGATTTCTCTCAAATCATTTTGTTTGAGCATATCAGAACCTGCAGGTTGTTCTAGATGAAAATGTCTCCCATGAGCAACTTGTTCCCAAAACAACATGGTACACACTCTCAAATGAACCCTCTCTCTCTCTCTCTCGGTCACTCAGAATCCTTTCTCTTGTTCCTAGGTCTCGGTTCATGTTCAACCTCGAAAAACCACCCCACGCCTTACAGTCAGGAGCTGCCAGGTTCATAGAGCTTGACCCAGGTCATTAATTTGTCAATTCCTTCTGGTGTGCTCAGGTCTCCATCTCGTTTCGTGAAACGAATCGCACCCCCAAAACGACTCATCTGAGATGTCAACTGGGAACCCTCAAAACAATACACCTCCAGAAGGAAGACTGGCCGATTAAGATCTGAATCCTGAGGCTGTGTCTGAGTTCGAGGAACACGCAATGGTAACTTACTTAGATTCTCCTCTATCTGGTGTGCAACTGTCTAAATTTGCTGACAAATCTCAGACATGGTTTTGTCTTTCGACTTGCCCCTCCGAATTGTCCTGTCATTTTCCCTCACGAGTCCTCGTGGAGAGCCATCTCGTTCACAATCTCCTGACGATCGAACTCTCTCTGGAGAATTGCCATCTGTGTTCGTAACTCCTGTGCACGTTGATAGTTGGGTTCTACCAGCATCGATGAGGTGGACGGTGGTTCTGCCAGGCTGCGCTTCTTGTCCGGTGTTGACTCCAGCATCTTTGTCCCCTGCATGGGTGATTCGACATCGATGGGCACCCACTCTGAATCCGTCTTGTTCGACATTGTTGAGGTGGCACTCTTTCGAACTGGAATGGGTCCCTGCGTGACCATCTGCTGGGACATCTTCTTTTTCATGGCCTTGCAGTAATTCTGAAAACTCCGCATGTCGTTGGATACCAACCTCGTGTTCGCGAGGATGTACTGGACATACTGCGGGTCGTTCTGGAAGACCTCGTTGAATGCCTTCTTCTTGTGCTTGCCACTCTCGAATGTCTCTTGTCCCCACTGAAGGAGATTGTGAATCCCTTTCGGCTGACTGTAGGTCAACTTCTCGTCCGATGCCTTGCTTGTCAATGACAAGTCCTCCTCCCCTGAGAGTTCCTCCAATTGGAACTGCGGGACCATCTTCTTGAGCGCCATCTGGAGAGTGGCTCTCACGGGGATCGGAAGGCTTGCAAGCTTGAGTCAAAGGCTGTCTCTCAATCGAATTGTTGGTCTCCATCATCGAAATCCGAGCTGCTTTAACGGGGTCTCTGGTCAGTGCTTGCTTTGGTTTGCTGGTGCATTCATTGTGAATTCTGTCATGCATGCCATGTTCCGGGTGGGTCTGGGTTGTGTCGGTGTTGTTCACTGTTTGCACGTTGAGTGTATGGAGACAGGTTTCACCTGTCCCATCCTCAAACACAACCCTCAACAAATCCCTAATTCGAACACAGTTCAACCTCCTACGAACCTTCCTCAACCTAATCACATCCCTACTCCCATGAAAACGAAGTTCACAAAGATGGGGGTCAACTACTCCCCTCATTCCTTCGACAACAGCATTTGAGATGAGGAATGGGGTATTGCCGGGCACGACCTCGACACGCAACCAACCTTTTCCACTCCTTTCAAGAAAAAGTGCTTCTGTGCTCTGGAGCAAGCCACAATTGCCAAACCGAAACACACACTTGGAGGGCCCCCTCTTAATCCCGACCCCTTTCAAGGATTTCAACAAGGGCTCAACCCGATTGCTCCCTATGATGGTCCGACTTGCCCCAGTCTCGAGAATGGCTTCATCCGAGCCCTCCTCTTCTGCAAAATGAACTGCTTCAAACTCTGGAGAACTGGCCACGGGTGGAAAGGTGGTCTGCTCATGGCCTTTGGCCTGGCGTGTCATCGCTGAAGCGTCACGAACTGGCCACGACATCCTTCGAGCAGATTGCAGGGCATGTTTCATCAAGTCCTTAACCCTCTCTCCCCTTGAAACCATGAAACACTCCTCTTCAAACTCTAGATGGGTCTTTGGAAAACATGTCGTACAATCATGCGTGAGGTTCCAATCCATTTGATTCTCTTGAGTCCTACGATCGAACCGAATTAAACAAGTCGTACGACGATCTTCCTGGAGCTCATCCGGCAAAGTCGCTGTGAGTTCCTCGGGCAGTTCCGACAGGTAGTCCTCTGCCATGCTCGCCATCTCATTTCCACGAGCTGCTCGTTCTGGGCATTCTCTCTTCCAATGGCCCGGTTTGCCACACAAACGACAGGTCGAATTCCCGATCCGCTCGGCGAGAGTTCGACGACCCGGTCCGGCAACCTGGTTTCCTTTGGATGAACCCTTCTTCCCAAACCCTTTTCCTTTCGTAGCTGGCCTCACTGGCCAAAACCCCTATGCCGGGCACGTTCACGCAGTCGGGACCTTGCCTCTTGATATGCAGTGAAGCTTCGATGATTTGGTCTTCAAACTCGCTCACAAAGATAGCGTCTTCATCGCCTTGTTGCATGAGCGAAGCAAAGACACTTTCTTCATCAATCTCTTCATTCACAAAAACACCATCGCCCTTGGCATTGTGGTTGTCTGAACTGGTGTCATGGTCTTCTTCCACTGAATGAACATCATACGTTTTCAGCTTTCCCCGGGATGCTCCTTGCAAATCCTGAAAGAATCGGGATCCCAAAAGCCTAATAGCTTCTCTGGTGGTCTCATACTTGAGGATCCCATTGCTGTCCACGATGATGTGCTTTTTCTCTTCAGATGAAAGAGATGAGTGCCTGATCAATACATACGATTGAATCTCCTTCAAGGAGACCTCATGGTCCTTCTGGAGAAGGTCCTCGAAGCACGCTTCATGACGAGCAATGTAACTGTCGTTACTCTCATCTGTCTTCTGTTGGGTGGAGTAGATTGCCCGCTCAAATTTCAAATATCGATCTTCTGTCTTGAAGCGTCCCCACTGCACTCCCAAAGCATCTAAAATCGCCTTGCACGCTTCTTTGGACTTCAGTCGTTCGGTGGGAATCTGTGATACCTTTTTGAAGGCAATGGCATCACACTGCAAGACAACCCTGGGTCCCAAATGCTGGATGTGCTCTTCCGGCCAAATGGAGGAAAGGAAAACCAACTTCTTCGCAAAGTCCTCCAAATTCGTTTCTCCTGCTACGAAGTGCGGGATCTGGGCCCACGGCAGCTGTGAAGCCGGCATTGACGCCAGTCCAGCCGATGCGCTTGCTTCGGATGGCATGGCTCTCTCAAACCCCGAGGTGAGATGTCAACAAACCTATGTTTGTTGAAGAACCCCAAACACAACCTATCCAAACACTCTAGCGACCTTGCCCCTTTGTTTACTGGGGCTCCGCTACCAATGTGGATTTCACCGGATAACCTACCGAGCCACCTAGTAAGAACCCTGTCCTACCACCCCTGTCCCTGTCACTGTTTTCTGTTGGTCTCAAGCGCCGCGTCCCACCCTCCACATGGCTGCGAGTCGTTGTCCAAAGTTCGAACGGGTTCGATCGGTCGGCAACATTGGAAAATCACAATATATATATATATATATACCACCTTTATTTGTGTCACACGCGACAAGAATATTCTTAAGTCATGTTGAAAGGCTTTGGAACATGCACGGGGATTGAGTAAAGGGTGAAATTATTCAACAACTTCATCAACCTTAAAGTCTAATCCACTTCCTCTCGTGCCCCGGTGCTTCTCAGTCTGCAAGGATTGAAAAGGCTCAGGCGTTTTGTAGAATTTTGTAGAGCATTAAAGCGGCACTTAGCGTTTGTCAGGCATGACGAGTTGCGGTTTGTTCACCACCCACCTTAGGAACTCTTCTCTTTTTAGTGCCACCTCATGGCTCACCCTCCACCACCGCCCATGTTTCGACCCAAAGCCTGCGGATAGGAGGCGTGGTTACTTTCTCGCGCGACGCGCTTAACGAGACGATGAGGCGCGTTGAAAACGCGGTGCGGTGCACCGCGTTGGTTTCACCAGCGACGCCCTCGAGGCCTTGATCGGGACGTGGCCAATGTGCGGAATGCTCAGCGATTGGCCGACAACATGGGCCTTCAGCAGGCCCACTCGAGATTCGTTCGCAGGGTGCTGGGGTGTTTCACCTTGGTTGAGATGCACTGGGGCCGGTCCTTGAAACCTTGCCAGAGTTGATTTCTTGATTCCTGGCTTCAAGGCCTCAAATCCTCAGCTGGACAGGAGCGGCCCCCTCAAAGGGGTTCGGTCGCTCTGTCTTCCAGCAGGAGGTGTGGCTGAGGTTTTTCCCACCACGGCCCGACAGTGCTGGAGAGCCACATGGCGTGCGCGTGCGGAGCCCAGCGGCGGACGCCCTTGGCCCAGTATGCAAGATCAATGAAGGCGAGAGACCAAGAGGGAGGTGGAGGTGATGTGATTCCCATGCATTTCCCGATGTACACCGTATCTCTAGGTGCACTTTTGGAGATGATCAAGGTGGAACCACACGAAGTGCTGAAGGCCAAGAATCTCTTGGTGGACTTTCAAGGTACCATGGGGAAAGCGGCGTTTGTTTCACACCAGTGGGTGACCAATGACCACCCCGACCCTGAATTCAAGCAGATGAGGATCTTGCAAGATGCTCTGAAAGAGATCATGGGCAATTTGCAGAAGATACCTGTGGATGTTGTAACAGAAGCAGCGGAGGGGCATATCAAGCCGTTGCCCACATCCAAGCTTTTGTCAGAACCACTGTTTTTCTGGTATGACTACTTTTCGTGCCCACAGAAGGACAGGTTGGGGAGTTTGAGCATGACATCAATGTTTGATCAAGACGGGCATCGAACAAAACTGATGGATGCTATCAACAGCATACCTGCTTATGTGGATGAGTGCTCCTTCTTTTTTGCCCTCGTGCCAGTGCTGCAGAACCCGAGCCGAACTGGTTTAATCACCCCTTTGACGTGGCAAGCCCGGGGGTGGTGTCGTTTGGAAAGAGCTTGTGGGGAGCTTTCCCAACAACACTCCTGGATTATGGTGAAGAGTGCAAAAGACATCGAACTGATCGCAGGCACAAGTGCATCCCTTCGTGCCGGTTCTGGACCAGTCGGTGAAGGCATCTTCACTGTTCCACTAGATCGCTTGAAGCTTGGACCAGTTCTCATGGCAGCGCTGAAGCGCAAGATGCTAAGACTCCTGAGAGCCCAGGATTTGCCAGGCTACCGTGCCTGGTTGAACCAGCAAGCTATGGTGCTGAAAGGGTTGAATTGCCAGTTCTTTGAGCCATCTTTGGGCTTTGACGACACTGATCTGGATGCATCGCCTGTCATGAAGTTCTTCCACCAGAACGGCTTCCGCAACGTCGCGGACACGGACAGCGGTGGCTGGTCGCCTCTTCATTACGCTGCCCTGAATGGGGATTGCTCTCTGGTGCAGGGCTTGCTGGACCTTCAGGCAGATCCAAACCAAGGAAGCAAGAAAGTCCACCCAACCATTGGACAGCCTTCAGGAACACCGCCTTTGTCCATTGCCATCATCTTCAAGAACAACGAGGCTGCCCGGCTCTTGCTTTCCGCCAAGGCCAGTGTAACCACTCGTGGGCTTGTTCGTGGCCCTTTCACTTGTGCAGCCAATGCAAACAATCGAGAAGCCATCCAGATGCTTTGCCATGCTGGGTGCAGCCCGGTGCAAATCAATCTCTTTGGTGTAAGTGTGCTGGACAGTGCCGCCTACCATGGGGCATTGGAAGCCATTGATGAACTCATGTGGCATTGCGATGCTCGTGCGGGAGCTTTGGATCTGACGTCTGCTCTCTACTATGCAGCCATCGGTGGCGCAGGTGCTGAGGTGGTCAACCGACTTGTCACCAGGAGAGCGGACGTGAATGCACAGAGTGATGAACACTACCAGCGCACGGCCATGATGCGAACATTGTTTAAGGTGGGTGTGGCTCAAACGACTCTCAAACGACTCTCAAAGCCACGGGTTTTTGTTTGGGTCTCGCGACTCTCCTCTATTTTCCTCCGACCTGTTTTTTCCTGGGATGGCGCTGGTCGTTGGTTTTTGTGAAACAGAAAGGGGATCTTTTGGAAGTTTCAAGAGTTTTGCAGCGCCACTGCATCTCAGTGGATCCCATGTTCCCAGGTGAAGCTTTTGCAACATCGCTTTCAGAAGGTGACGATGGTGAGCAAGATCTTCTACCATTCCAAGGGCGCCAGCCCTTTGATGATAGCTTTACTCACCGGACATCACGAATGTGCTGCAGCTTTGATCGCCGCGGGGGCAGAGTTAGATCTCCGCAACTCAAGGGGATGGAGAGCAATGGATTTCCTCGGGCACTCAGCGCCTGAGTTTTTGCAGGAAGCTTTTGAAGGAAGGGGGGAAGAGTGCCAGAAGGTGTCATCCCTGGCATGTGGTTTGATCCAGATGCGTTTGTGAAAAAGGATTCCAAAAAGGCAAATCGTTTGATCGGAGATGGATCACGATGGATCACCTAAAACTCGATTCTGGCATCAGCCTGTGGCCATTGGCCGACTTCGTGGCGAGCTTTTTGAATCAGCCTGTGGCTTCTCCAGCCTAATATGGGTGTGTATTTTAGTATATTTTAGTAGGGAGATCGCACCAATGGGTTTTGGTAGTGGTTTTGCTCTATGAGCCTATTTCTTCTTCCAGGGGTCTTTGGGAGGTCTCCCTATTTTGCCACGGTTGGGAGAGTACAGAAACGTCTCTACTGACGCCAGCGCACGAGTCACGAAGCTGCCCCGGACAAGAGTCCCGGACTCTTCGGCCTAAGGTATCTATATTGCCCGTGAAACAGGAAGCCGTTCAGAGCTACAGAGAGTTCCCCAATCCCTTGCTAGGTTAATTAGCTTCGAGTGGTGCGAAAAAACACTCCTCCAATGAATGTGATCCACTTCTTAGCAGCTGCCTTGGCCCGCTTCCCAGCACCTGGAGGTCTCCTTCGCCGTGTGCGACATCCAAAGCGCCCAAGCCTTGCAGCAGCGGCTGCGCGCAAAGGACCTGGTGGTGGGGCTGCATCCCTGCGGATCGCTCGGAGAGGAGCGCGTTTGGGAGGGCGGGAGGCCCACAGGCAGCACAGGGCGCGTATGTTGATGGCACCACTCCCTGCTGTTCTTCTAACTGTCTTTGGGGGCTTTCCTAGTGGGTGCTGAAGGATGTCCGTTCAACCATAGGCCCCATAGGCAGCACCTGCTTCTTGCGAAGTACTTCGACGAGCGCCGAGGATTTGATCACTGCCATCGCTGACTCAGATCCAGCGCTTCTGATGGCTCCTCAGTTTGGCTGACTCAACTTGATGGAAGAAGAACTTGAGGTTCCCAACGAGAGGTGTGCATTCCGTGAGAGGACCGACCGAAAACTGTGGCCACAGAAAGTCGAAATTGTGAAAAACCTTGTGTAAGGGAGGTTCAACTCATTTTTGGGGTGGGGGCGGGGAGGCTTGGCATCTGCACAGCACTCCAAGAATAGCGCGTGGACATGACTTTTGTGCGGAGCTAGATGGCCGATGAGTGTGATCCCAACACGACTCGTGATTTGAGCATGATTCGACAATGAAAATGCTCAACCGTTTTGGGTGTTCTTGGCAACACCATCCAACAACCTTTGATTTTTCATGGTTTTTCATTCCTTCAACAGGTATTTGCCGTCAATGGCTCCCCCCCCACCAAATAAAAGTAACGTTGCCAAAAAAAAAGCACAGCTCCCTCACGCTGTTTATTTTTTGTGTGTGTGACATTGTGTGTTTACTCTTCTCCCCCAACTATGAATGTCTAAAAGTAGACAACCACCAGCGACCACCCAAACCACATCCAAATGGTCCAGCCAGGTGTTGGACCTGGCTGTTTGTTTCGTTTCACCACTAGTTCAGTCGGACCAAGTAAAACCTTCATGTCCTTGACCTGTAGGATTTAGTGCTTTTTCCAATAATGACTAGCCCTAGGGCTCCTGGCCCACCTCCTGAGGTTCGGTGGTTGGGGTGGGTGCCAGGTGGGCCTAACCACCGAACCTGAGGAGATGGTTGGAGCCCTAGGGTAGTACTACGATACAGTATACGATAGTTTTGGGGCTCTGGAGGGTTGCTTCATCATGTTCCCGAGGTCTCTTGCTGCATTATGGGGCGGCCGTGGGCGCCGGCCACTGGGACAAAGAAGATCGGACATTGGAATGTGCCAAGGGCAGCTTGGACAAGTCCGCCACTTCTAGATTCTAGTTCATCTCTGTCATTAATCCATGAAATCCATGGTGTAGTTCTCTTGCTAGTGTGCAGCAAGGATTCCAGCAGCTGCCTTTGAGCACGACAAATGCACCACTTGGAGACTTAAGACCCCAGCAGTGCAGCTTTTCCGTGGGCATCCCTGCTTTTTGCGGCCGGAACCTGGGCACGAACCCTGAGTTTCCGGACTCTGGACTCTGGTGTTGGTCATTCCTTTTCCAGGTGCAATTCCCACGGCAGCCGTTGTCCCAGTTGGGGCAAGACTTGGAGATTTGCCTGCCGCGCAGCGCCTTGAAGATGGCCAACCTTTGGGCCCCGGGAGCCGTCCCGGAGGTGCGCGAGAAAAGGGCTGCGCGGGTCCACGCGGGGTGCAGAAATTGAAAGAGCGGAGACCTTTGAGATTTGGAAGATGTCTCTATAACCATAGAACCCCAAAAGGGCCATGTCTCTATTTGGGGGACGACTAAGCACCTCAAATAGGAACGTTTCATCATGAGATGGTGTACAATATAATAGTAATATATTGTACAATTGCTCCAAGAGCTGGCCGTGGTAAGTGGTAGAGATTCTGGTGAGCAACACTCCAAAAGTATCCTGCCTAGGTTTCAAACAGTACCGAGAGAGGTTAAGTATTGTTAGGTAGCCTGAGTCCGTAACCTGTTGTACCTTAGTCGAACTAGGGTCCTTCAACCTCTGTTGGTATGGGACTTCTGATGACTTTTGATGGGACTTCTGATGACTTTTGAAGGGACTTCTGATGACGTTTGATGGGACTTCTGATGACTTTTGATGGGACTTCTGATGACTTTCTGATGACTTTTGATGGGACTTCTGATGACTTTTGATGGGACTTC